GTTAACTCACTGAGGTCACTGTAATCACATTATCTGGTCGAGTGCGGGTTCACAAGGAAATAATTAGGCCGTTCGTCACCAGCTTAATGATAAACTTTCCTCCGGCCATCCATTCATTACCAACGTTTTGGAAACCACTTATTGAGCTCGCCAGAATTTCGTCTACGACAAAATTGAACCAGAATGGCAAAATAGGGCCCCTTGACGAATGCCACGGTCGGTGAGAAACGTTGCGCGATTTTTGAGTACGCCGATGACACCGTCTGTCTGTTCGGATGCGCAAAGTGCGCTTGATATCCTAGCTCCGTTCAGCATGGGCTTTACACCTTCAAAGTGAAAGGTGATGCTGCAAGACTGGGTGTTGGCCAATCCCACATTGAAATTAAATCGCCAGGAACCAGTTATGGTGGATTACTTTTCCTACTGATATATATATCTCAACTCAGGTAAGAGAAAAACTTAAGTATTTCAAGTAGACGCATCCAACTGGATACACTGTTCTGGTCACGACGGAGTAGAGACTACTGTGAATTGCGAAGGGAAAACCCCATGACATCACAAAATCCGAACACTTTCAGAATTGTGAAAGCACGCTTCTGAGGAATCCCTCTTTACCTAACTGCAAAATCACTTTAGGCGCTGGTAAACATTAATTTTGCGGTCAGCTACANTCCTCCCTCTCCCCCCTTCTACCCCAATCGCAGTGGACACCGTCGCTCTCGGGGACACTCCATGCAACCGACCAAAAATCAAATCAGCGGTCTTGCCAGAATGATCGAATCGGAGATTAATCCGGTGGGAACTAAAACCCGATCGACAGCGTTAAATTCTTTAGCGTACCCCATCCAGACTGATGACGAACCAATAGAAAGAGTATGAAAGTTCAAATATGATCGAACCCTAGTGACAGATCAAAGTGTATGTGAAATAGAGTTGTAAGACACTATGGAGCCGTAGTGGGATACCCTGTGTCATAATATTCCAGTGTTTCCAGATGCCGAGTTCTGCACTTGCATGAGGTTGAGCTTTGACCACCATGCGCTTGTGGTATGTGGAAATCGACGTCTTCTACCACTGGTGCCTGCGATGCATCCTGAAGTTACAATGCCCAGAGACGTTGTCCGTTGAAGGAATGTAAAGACAACAATATCAACAAACTGTCTTTAGCGCCACTGATTAAAATGCTTGGGTCATGTTCCCTGACGACCTGAAACACCATTTCCAGAAAAATGCATATTGACAGTGTCAATTCAAGGTTGACGCGTGCACCTAGGTAGTCAGTTGAAGAATTGGGTTACTACGGTCAATGAAGATGTGACGTAAGTAGGCCTTCGAAAGAACTATGAATTACCGGGACGGAACGGGAGTTCGACATCACTCCATAAGGACTTCGCAGTAAAACTGCGAAAGATATCCGAGAGGACAACTTATCCACATACAAGAAACGGTCGTTTAAGAGTAGAAATATTTCAAACGCTGCAGAGATCCATCCAACTTGTGTCACGGTTGGTTTATTACGGTCATGTTTACCGTGAGTCGTAACAAAAACAGGAACCAGGTACTACCCCTTGAATGACTTCAATGCATTTGGTTCATGTTTCGAACAACTGTGATAAAGCGGCGGTACATTGGTCCTTTGGCGTAGATACAATTCCAGTCAAGACCAAGTTTCAAAACTGGAAAACGAACTAGCGTTAACTGTGTCCTTGCGAAATCAGATGTGTGCGTGCACTGAACTGCCCGGGACAAAATCTAAGGGCGCAAGACCACAACCAGGCACAGATGGAATGTGACAAAATGGTTGTCTCGTGTTCACCTGTGTGCAGACGAATGAATGAAATGGGGGGAGGGGCTCTGAGTTCCATGAACATCACCTTTCTCAACAGTTACTACTATCATCAACCATCATCGATGATATCACCATCATCCTCATCACGATTACGTGAGTCTATAGGACACGCACGAACGTACACGCTCGCCCGCGTACATACATACACACGTAAACACGCACACACACACACGGCCCACGGAACTACGCGCAAGCACACAAAAAGAGCAGACAGGATCAAAACAACGCCCAGTGGTTAGAACTAAACACGAGTCACTGGGTATGTCCATCCAATCAATGAATCGGACTGCAAACGAGACAGCGGAATTAGACGATCAGAACACACACACAAGTAAATGCACAAACGAGGCGCGTACACGCACACGTGTGCAATCCGATTGACTGACCTGGATAGCCATGACAAAGCACATCGATTGGTGTGGCCCGTTTCGTGTCACCTATTTTCTGATAGCGATCACGCAAGTTCTCCGCTTTCAGACCTTGCCATGGAAGGCTGCCTCGAAGGAAGTACAAGAACATGTGGCCCAATGCTTCCAAATCGTCACGACGTGATTGCTCTGGCAAAACGCAGACGGGTGTGTCAATGAGAAATACATAGATCCAATAATAGTCAGTCAATCGATCACAAGTAGTGAAATGATGAAACTGCCACAAACTACGTGGCCGAGAAGCAATACTTTTTATGCAGTCAAAAATAATATTACTTTTGGGAGATAACTATCGGTGAAATCCAGAATGCTAAACGAAATATTAACGATATCAACACTGAATATCGGTGGCCAGATAACTTCCTCAGGCTGGTGCTCAGTGAAGACTGACGAAAGTTACGGTTTGACTGACCACGAGACCTAGTTAAGATATGCTTTTCTAGGTAGTACCTGTTAGTGTCCCCATCGTGCAAAACGCCACATAGATGAACAATGGAGGGTAAGAAAGTAGGACTGCTGTATTAAGCTAATTTCTATTCTTTGTCAGTAATTTCAAAACCCCGAAACATCCTAAATGCGGGAACTGTGTAAACAGAGATAACGAAAGCGCAAGTTCATGGAAGAATCGCGCTCTCTCAGACGCCGGTCCTGGCCGAGAGACGTTTTTTTGTTTGGGTACACTGGTCTGTAAAGGGAGGTAATTTTTCTTGTCTCCGGCTAACCGCCGTCCTGTCGGGCGACACCGTTTCGATCAAGAACCGGTTAAAGCGAGGCGGAACGGTTAATGATATCTATGGGATTTATTCTTGCTACAGTTCATAATACAGTTGTGAGTCAAAGCATGTATCCTTTGCGGCTCTCAGATGAAAACTACCTTCAGTGAATTACAAAGAGTGGGACGCCTATGGTGTCTGTTCTAAACAGCCTCACTAACACAAAACAATCGAGAGGAAACTTCCTGATGGCATTTGCAAGTGAACTTTTATCAAAGACTTGTCAGTCTTTCCCGCGGGATTTCGGAGAAACGTTTGATTTTCAATAGGTTACAAGGTAGCATTTTTCTAGTAGGAAGTTAGCGGCCCAAAAGCAAATTGCTCCGCGAAGTTCTCACACCGAATCCAGTTATATTGAACCGCTAGGTTGCATTAAATGGGGTAACCCGATTGGTAAACTTGGTGAATAGAGCGACTTTTGTCACCAATAGTGAAGTTTATTTCCTCCATATGGGGAATAAACAAGATTAATCGTGAGCACGAAACTGAGGAGTGATATGATTCTCTGAGCATTGAAAAACGAAACCAAACAATAACCAGGGTGACCAGAGTGATCATTCAACTATACTCCATAAACTAAATGAGGTGGGATAGCAGTAAAACAAAGTGCACTGTTTGGATCGGGTCGATACTTTTTATTAAATCGAGAAATGGATCAGCAAGAATGCGGACGGATAGCAATGATTCAGCAAGATAGTCAATCCAAAATAACAGAAACGACAAACTAGTATTTAGCGGTTTCGTTTGCAGTTACCTTTGCCCAAATGAGTATTGATGCTCATGTAGCGAGCTGTTCCGGTCAGACTCTTGTGTTCTCGATATCGGATGTGTTTGCCTGTGTCCGGATCGATGTACTCTTTGGCTAGACCGAAATCGATTATATAGATTGTCCTGTGTCGATTATAATACTGTCGACCAATGAGAAAATTCTCTGGCTTCACATCCCGATAGATCAAATGCTTTGAATGGACATACTCAATACGACGCAGCTGTGGGCAAGATCAGGCAAGTGTGGAGAAAAGCGACGAGAAGTGATTAAGTTCTGATGATTTCGAACATTATTAGATTTGAGAATCTGACGGGCCGTGCAAAAATGAAGAAGCACCATGCACAACACACCACACAACAAAAACAATGAGCATTCTCAGAGAGCCGAGAGATCTGGAGTTCACAAGAGAAGGCAAAAATAACATGACCAAAATAACGCAATCCAAGGAACTAGGGAGATGTACGAAAAGAACAACCTACGGCTGATTTTCCAACTGAATTTTACTAGTCTATACAGCGTATCAATAGCCGTTCCACCCACGACGAGGCTTCTGACAGTCAAGGAAGCGCACTGAATTCATATTAGGTGATGAGTTATTCGTTGCTTAAGTAGACATCATCACATTACTGTTGTGTATTTCTAAGTATTTAGTCATGAACCGGAGGAAGTTGACCTTGGAGGTACATTGCAATGAGAGGATGGGATACTACGCATGTAACCACATTCCGTTGATCTAATGGAAAGATTCATATAACATAGTTTTGCGAAACACCAGTAAGGAAGAACACGACTGCTAAACAGTTTACATTAATTGTAGCTCAGTGCATGTTTAGGGTAGGGATGGATCGACATGCTTTCCGACATAAACAACTGCTTCTCTGAATGATTGTCATGTGCGACACTCCACACGAAGAAAATGCTAGGAAATATGCATCAGACAGATCCAACTGAACAGAAAGATCAATTCTCACAGCGCAGACGTGCTAATCGGACTTCGAGATTACATATTCAACAATACTAAGGTATACAAAAGTCTAACTGAAGCAGTTTGACGAGTGGATCAGTATTCCATCGTATGATCATAAGTCTGCTCGTGGCATTACCAAAAAACAAAAGCCTTAAGATCAATAATTAAAGTGCGACGTACGTTGCGAATTACGAGTTTTAAACCACTATTTGTAATCTAGTACCCAAGCCCAAGATGTACTTAAAAGTGTATGTGTTTCACTCTACCAATTTAGGCGGTGTCGTTCTAATTCGACAACATACCATGTTTAACCAGTCGGTAACTCATTCCGTTTGCTCAGTTTTCAGTTACAGTTTTTACAACTATTAACCATGCAATTTCGTACACCGGTTTTGGCCGTCCATTTAAAAGAGTAAAATGAAGATTGGAACCTCGAGAGAAAATTCAAGGGGAAGATAGAGAATTCATACAGACTGAGGTCGCAAGATTATTGAGTAGATGCATGAGCGCTACTGTTTGCGACACAGCCATATCACTCAGTGTCTTCAAGCGTTGGTGACCATGATCTCGGGGTCTCCAGCCAGGGAGCCTAACGGGGTCTATCTGACCTAGTCTCCTGATTAGAGTTTTCATACCCAGATACCAAGTCTTCATTTGACCACCCTTAACCTTTTCTAAACCGCCATCTGCCTCAGAAAACATCGCTCGCCGTGGCAACCTATCTGGCGACATGCGTATCACATGCCCTAGCTAGCGTAATCCAGAGGTCGACCACTTGCTCCATTGGACGACCGCGATTACCTAAAACTCTACGCCTAACCTTGGCATTGCTCGTCCGGTTACCCCACCAGACTCGTCCAATGCATTCAGCTTGCTACCCCAAGCCCTATGAATTTGATAGAGAAAAGACCATTTTTTCCTATAAAAGTGACTATTTCCCCCTATTTTCCAATTATTTTTATAAAACTTGATTTTCCGGATTTTGGCACTAAGAAAGACTCACTGCATCACCGGCCATATTCGATTCTCATTGGTCCATTCCTCCATAACTGCCTACTTTCAAGCTAATTTCCAAGGTCATTTCTGGCCGGTTTTCAAACTGTATATAAAAAGACGAGTTGTCCAGTCTTCGCCTTTTTGGTCGAGCCAAATACACAATCTCGCCTGAAGGCCTATCTTCCGTGTTTTCTCTGGTCGGGTTCTGGATCGTGCTAATTTCGTGGGGCGTTTCCTTCCCGTTCTATTGGGATTTGCCTTAGGTACCGCAGTCGAACGCACTCGTGTACTGTTCCTTATTCGCTGGGTCGCACGGTTCTGTTCATGGTTATTACTGCCACACATATCGTGAGGTCACGGTTCGTGCTAGTTCAGTCGTATCGTCTATTCCAAAGTTACAACAGAATTAGATCACCGAACACTAGATTCACGTGCCAATGAAATCCGCTCCTTCCACTGTCCATTATATGAAGGTATACAATCAAAGAAATGCTTATTCAAAAGAGACGTCTAATAGTGTCCGGATACGAAACATCAACTAGATCAGAACAATCCCGCTCTAACCTAGGTATCTTTTATTGGTTACCAATTTGAGTTGTTTTCAGTCAATGACCAGTCAATAAGTCCATTTAAGAGGGAAAGAAACTTTAGGTAATAGCTGTAGAACGGAAAACAATGTCAACTGGACGACTGATCGGTTTGCCTGAAGTTCTGCATGTGAGCGCGCGCGACTTACACATTCAGATAAGACATGTGATCTGTATGGAAAACGGGTTTGTATTAATTTTGCATGATGCAATTACAATTCAGCCAACAGAATGAGAACTTAGCATCCACTATCTCAACTGGTGTAATTCAATGGCGTGGAAATTACGACAGCGTGAGAACAAGATAGACAATGAATGAAAAATGGAAGACTGTAAACGTACCAGCTGAATGGCGATCATGAGTACAGTTTTAAGGGAAAATTGTCGTTTGCAGATCTCAAATAAATCCTCTAAAGACGGACCGAGTAGTTCCATTACGAGGGCGTTATGTCTGCCAACTGGGCCGAAATAATAAACAGCGGGGAAGCCGACCACATTGCCGGATTGAAGCATCCGGTAGAACCGATACTCCAAATGCAGTTGTGGCGCTCGGGTTTTCATGGGTTCTAACTTAATGGCCACGTGTTCGTTGGTGTACAAGTTCCGGCCTTGAAAGGGAAAGGTGTGAGGGCATAAAATCGACTGGAAATGACGAAAATTGTGATTAATGCAATAAGAAGAAGAATCTCGTATTTCCCTCTATTCTACATACAGGAACAAATGAGGTGTCACGTTCCTTTGGGGCAAATTTTGATTTTCACTTGGCACTTAATTTATCACCTGTGGCTCCGAGCTGCTCCCCAATGAATAGTGGTCCTTCGGCCGTAAACTGATCAACAGGTGAACTAAATCAACTCGACAGTAACTGAGACGTTTCAACTTGTTTAAACGGGAGAGCATTCTGCTGTCTTGCAATTAGCACTCCGTGGTGCAAACGATGGAAATGCATCTTGAAACGAAAAAAAATTGGAATGTTGCTGCGGGCATTATTTCGAATAGCGCTCTCGTGAATCTTCCATAACTATCCGTGGGAAGCTAAAAACAGGCAAACGCGGCAAAATCGGACATGGGACGACTATGCTTACACTCGGCCCAACCAGCTATAGAACCGTTATTAGATCACCATTTGCAGCAACCTCACCAACAGCCATCATACATGGAAAGCTTATTATATATCCAGGGAGCGGACTAGTCTTCTAGAAAAGGATAGTGGTGATATGGCTTTAAAAAGTATACTCCACAAATGTACAGTATATATATATATATATATCACAACAGATTGAGAATAAGCATGGTGCTAACATAACAACAATAGATTTCGGGGGTGGGGGACANTGGGGGACAAATGACAATGGACAAGCGCAAAAAAAAACAGGGCACTCTCTGGATCGGAATGCGTTTGGTACGAATAATCTAGAAAGTCACATGACGAACGTGGAAATCGAACAGCTCAGTAAAAACATGACCGAACTGAGAGGTATGGCGAGTTCACCAGGGGCAACTAAGCTCTAAGAAAAAATGCATTTCACACTTAACTCATCTGAATCCACGACAGCCTGTTTCCAACCCGAAAGTTAGGCCATTTTTGTGAGTTGTTAAAATCCAAGAGGAAAAAACTTTTCCTGCAAGGGAAAAGATTCTGGAAATTATTAGCCCTTTTAGAATTTCATTATTACTGAGCTTTACCGGCACTGACCCCATACACGTTCTGTTCTGTTTCGATTCTATCAAATTATTTTAATATCATCACAATTTCGGAGCTATTACAAAAAAACTATTTCAGGCCGGCTGGAATTTCACTGCTTACGAGAGCACTGCCAGCATGATTTACAATTACACTGAGCCGAATATCCACACTACTCGAAAACAGAAAGCAATTCTCCCGATCTATTTTTTTGTTTCAGGGCTGGTGGTATCATTTTCGGTTGCCAGCGTGCAGAACCACAGTACTTGTTTTATACAAAGTCAAAGTTTTATTATGGGCGATTTAACAAAGCCAAAGCTTTTCATGCCCCATAGGATTTTTACGGAATCCTTTTGATGAATTTACAAAGAGAAAAAATGATCACTCACGGATGTCGAAAGATCAGGTGTTCAAATGCTTTATGAAGTTGCGATTTGAATATTTCAACTGTAAGAGCATACACTATATGGGATAGAAGAGAATTCCATACACCGAACACCCTGACTGCAATCGCTTTCTTTGTTTTTTTGTGTCACAGTTTTAAGGAGTTATAAAAAGTCAGAATCCGTGAAGATGCGCAAGCAATGTGGGCAGTACTAAATTCTATTGGAAATACACGCACCTATATCCACTGTACCGTTAACAAAGGATACATGTTGCTCAGACTAGCAGGAGCAGGTGCCTACGACTGACCTAGGTGACTATCAGTTGGGTGCAACCGGTCACTTTCAACCACAAGCGCAGAGAGGTCCAGGTCCGGCTCGCCGGCGATTCTACCAAGACATGTAGATTCAACTCTGGAAACGTATCTAACACCAAAGCACATACTGTTTTGTTTCATGGCCACATTCTGGTAAATACTATACTCAACCACTGTACTGCTAACAATGGTGATAGATATTTGATTATTAGCCAAGCTCCACTAGTGACCACTGTCTCCTATTTCTCAGAGCAAAAGTTTACTCTCGGTTGGTATACCCCGGTTTATTCAAACAAAACAAATGAGCATAAAAGTTTGGAATCTTGCAACCGACTGACTCCTTCTCCTAAGGAAATCTCTTACCATCATCTCCCCGTGGTTTTCCGTTCAATAATCTCTCTGTTCTGTTGAACATACTACAGAAACAGCTAATGTGATTTTCAATATATGCTGTTCTACGGAAACAGTTCTTGTTCACACTGGCAGAATATGCTCTCCGCGGCTAAAAGCTCTTAGAAGACGAAAAGAACAAGAGCTCAAGACACATCAAACACCTTGCGCTGAAAATCAAGGAAGAGATCAAAAGACCGGATGCTTCATTCGCAAAGCAAGTTCTGGGAGCTGGAGATGAATGACGGTTATGGCAGGGAATCAGATTGCTGTGCAGACAGAAGAAACGGACAACAAGCAAAAGTATTGACGTGGATAGCCTGAATGCTGCATTCATTTATCCTTCAAACGATCTCCTGTCTCCATACCCCACAGACTACCTATTTACCGAAGACCCGGTCACCCATGAGGTCTATAATCGTAAAACTACAAAAAATCATGAGCGCAGTTCATCTATGCTCAAATATGGCGCTAGTTCATCCAAAGAGATGTTTGCGTCCCTTATTACCCTTATTACACATGTTCAATTCCGGAATCCTGCAAACCACTCATCATTGTTCTCACTCCTAAATCATCATTTAGCATTTTATCTAAACGCT